CTAGCAAGTGGATTTATGCAGCCAGCAGTCGCTTGCATCATAAAATTTGTATAGAGCAAAAGTCTGAAGTCTGAATTCGGAGTGGACAAGTAGTGGGCGTGGTCGTGGTGGGGAATTACATTTTCTAAATGTAATAAAATTTTGTCGCAGCGCTTCAAGCTGTAGCTGAAGCTCAGGCCAAAGAGCCAAAAATTAACATTAACTGGCAGTTAAGTGCCTGTCAAAGCTCATTTGAGTTGACAATCCGCTCAATTTGCTTCTCAGTTGCAATTCCAGCCAAAGGATCTTAAGTCTCTCTATCCTTATGAGATTTGTGCAGGAATTTCATGTAGTAAAATATTCACAAAGAGATTAGCGTTCTTTGGCTTTTTAGCTACAAATATTAAATGAATTCACATTGCGTTGTTGGCGAAGTCAATTTTAACTGGCAGTTAAGTGAATATCAATAATAATTGAAATTGAAATGCGATTGTTTCTACAAGAAAGAATTTTAAGTATTATAATCTTTATTTTATTTATTAATGTAAATTTTGTTTTGTTTTCTTTTTTTTTAACTTTATTTCTTTCGAATATTTTTTAATAAATAATATTTATAAATTTATTTTTAGTAAATTTTGATTTTTTTAAGTGGTTAGTTGTGGTTTTTTAATTGAGATATTTATAGTAAGTGGAGGATTTTTTATTTTTTATTTCTTTATTTATTTTTCTTTTTAAGTTTATCTTTCTAACTACTTTCTTATTTATCTTATTTTATTTTATTTTTTATTTATTTAATTTTTTTATTATGATTATTATTTTTATTTATATATTAATTTATTTTTTTTATTTCAATTTTTGTTGACTTCAATCATAAGACAATCATAAAATAAGTTGCTGTCAAAAGTTGGCATCTACTTAAATATATAAGAAAATACTCCGTTTTTGTACATTGTAGTAGTGTGTAGGGCTGTATTGACTTTACAGAGTATTTAACAGTCTTACATGGTAGGAAATGGACTTCCTCGATGCTTTTCGTTATCCTTTAGATTTTCATATTTTCATGAGTTCATATATATATATATATATTTTTGCTTAGCTAATTTGAATTCAATGCTGGCTGCTTAATATTAAAAGATACTAAAAAAAAGAGAATGAAAAAAAAAAATTGGTTTAACTTCTGCTCATAAATTGGAAAATAAAAATTTTCATTTTCATTTTGAGTCGATATAATTATGTTGACGCTGCTTTATGGCAGAGACAGAAGCAGCAGCAGCAGCAGCAGCAGCAGCAGCAGCTAAATGTGCATGTGTGTGAGTGTGTGTGTGTCTATGTGTGTAGAGCATGAGAGATTTTATAGCAAATTAAATTTTATTAGCGCACAAGGTGCGCTGACATTCCCTTTTGCCGGGATTACGTGTTATAGCTCAAGTAGATTATGGAAAGGTGCAGAACTTTTAGCTATTGTGCTAAAGGGATTTTCCCATCTATGTATGTAGGTGTGAATGTCGGTGTGTATGAGTGTGTGCGTGTGAGTGGTTTCGGCTGCTGTCGTTTCGAGTAGTTGTCATTGTCATTGTCCTTATCAACGGCGACAACAAAAAAGAAAACTTTTGCAAAACATCTTACAAGTGCCAGGACATGCGTATAAACCAAAAAAAAAAAAAAAAAAAAAAAAAAAAAAACAGTTCTCTATGCCAGTTTCAGGTGAGCTGTGCTCTATCTCTATCCATCTCGTTCTCTCTCGCTCTCTCTCTCTCTCTCTCTCTATCTATGTGATGTAACCTTTAGCTGGCGGCATTATGATGAGTTTTGCTTTTGCCCAGAGATTCTAAGGCTAAAAACTCGTAAATACCTTCATTATCGTTAAATCATGCTGAGAGCTGAACTCTTGCCCCCGAACAGCTACATACATATGTACGTGAACCATATGAACCATGCGAACCGATTCTGAACCCAAGCCCATGCCCAAGCCCAAGCCCAAACCCAAGCCCGAACCTAAACCAACATGCAGTCTCTGCCTTTTATTTGCCCTTTATTTCTGTGGAGCTGGAGCTTTGTGCCTGGGCTCATGTGGACTTTTAAATAGATTTAAATGCGCATTTAAATGAAATAAATGAACAAAGCATTTGCCCTGGCAGCGGCCTTTCGGCTGGCAAGCTAGCTGATAATTTAGACGAGTGCCCAAGCACACACACACACACACACAGAACAACTTGTCCAGGTTTTCTTTTCTTTTTATAAATTTTTCCAGCGGCGAGAGGGAATTTTTTGTTTATTTGTTGGTAATGGCCAAAGTTTCGCTACATTTTAACATTCACGCCTAATAAACTAGCAAATTAATATACAATCGCGTTGCGGCAGCACAATTAACTGCTGGACTACCGCATACCCTGGGCACATCAAACTCACATTCGCTGGAGAGTCGAAGTGAAGTGCTGCGACTGCCTGACTGTCTGTCATCTATGCCAATAGCCGCGCCCACAATTGAGCAGTGCCCTCTGACTGTCTGTCTGTCAGCGTTTATTTATAGGCCTCTCTACCTTAGCAGAAAAAAAAGCAAGCAAACTTTTTGGCATCATAAAAACGCAATTAGATGAAATTTATTATGATTTCTTGCCGCTTGCCTTGGAATGGCGTCAAATGTTAATTACAAATATTCATAAATTACGCTGAGCGAGTGACGTCACAGGCGCCATAATGACTTATGTGAGATGCACACACACACACACACACACACACCAGTGCCTCGCATATATTAGTGTGCGTGTGTGTGTTAGAGTAAAACAAATTTTAATTAAAAACTCAATTCGCTGAAAAGTTGTGCTAAAACTTTTCGCCTTTTGCCAGCCAGATAGACGGAGAGCGCGAGCGCGAGCGAGAGAGAACGACAACTTAAGAGAGCAACCCTTGCAGCTCTGCCTGCACCTGTTTATATGCCGGGTGGCAGCCAATTTAAGAACTTAACTCGCTAAATGTAAAAATAATTGCCACTAAAACCCCAAAAAACCAAAAGTTTTCTATGCACAAATAGCAAAAGTTTAGCTATCAAATGAACATGAATGCACAATGTGCCTAACTCAGTCTGTGTGTGTCTGTGTCTGTGTGGGTGTGGTGTGTTTGCTTGTTTGTGTGTGTGCATATGCCTGATTTAGTTATGCATTCATTTTGCTTTATGAACTTTTCATGGCTGAGTGCGTGTGTGTGTGACCAATTGGATTTCTTATGAATGCAACTTTTTGACTTTGTGTGGTCAAATGGCTTGCCAAAAAAGTTAAAAAGTTAATACGCTTCAGGCACAAATCCTTCTACCCTGCCTTTACGCCTTCAAAACTATTTGCTCAAATATTAATAAAGACAAAGTGTTAATAGAGACAGTTACTTGTAAAAGTTTTCGTTGAGCTAACGAAAATATAGGGCCAAAGGGCCAAAAGCTGTCGTTGTCAACTACATCGTGTCGTCAATCGAGATCGAAAATCTATAATAGGAATATCGTTCTATACAAATATAGCTATTTGGAATCATAATGAAATTATACTAAAACTTAATAGCCAAAATACAGCATTATTAATTAACAAGTTATTTGAATTAAAATCAAATGATTCTTTGAATTTATCTATCGATATCAGGGTATCGATAAATTTTCAAATTAAACTCTAAACTCTAAATATATCATATAGATATTTTCGTTTTGATAAGCAACGACATAAACTAGTGTTATCTCTATAATTGTATTGATAATTACAGTCCATGGTTAACATATAATCTGATAAATAAATAAAGTCGTGTCTCGATAATTCGTACCCCGCCAAATCGAAATTCGCGATAAATCGAACAAAAATTCTATCCCCTTGAAAGAAATTCGTGCTCAATAATTCTCGATAAATTGAAATTCTGTGTAAATCGAATTATAGGGATTCTACTATATATATATTCATATATTTACATATCGTGGCTTATCTATGAGGAAGTGCAGTCGTTGATTGCAGTTGCTGTTTGGTTTCAGCTGCCGCAATCGATGACAAATCAGGATTTAGGCATCGATAGATTCTCTTTTGGCTGAGCTCAGAATTCCTCCGATTTCGGTGTATTATCATATATCATATGCAATTAGCTATTATTCACAATCTATGGGTGTACGTGCAGTTGAGCCTGAGCAAAGCAAACTGTGTATGCAGAGTCGAGAGAAAAAGAGAGAGAGAGAGATAGGGAGACAGATAATAATGTATTAACCGATAAGGATAATAAAATTACCTCTTGTAATCTATGATAGATAGCAAGCAGGTGACACAGAAATGAGAGAGAGAGATATATATAGAGATAGAGATAGAGAGTTAGTGTTAGAGAGCGCTGATAAGTAATAACTGTCTGTCCCTGCTTGCTCAGTAAGTAAACCAATCGGGTATATCATTTGATGTCTTGATATTGCTGTTTTTGGACCACTACTTGATAGGCATTGAATTCGTTTAATTGATTCCTTAGAAACCCAAACCCTATCGATTCTTTAAAAACCCATAATATTTGAAATCAATCGTTATCTGCATCATAAAACAATTTCTCTCTCAAAATGAGATAGTGCGACGCAACTTGTGATTGGGCTGATAAAAATAACTTTTGTTTATGCCCGCTCACAAGAGAAATTGGTATAATATATAGATATATACATAAATATTAACATTCTCTGTTTATGCTTGTTCGATAAGTAAAGCGAGCAGATTCGTGAAATGTTATAAAATGGAAAGATATTAGCTCAAACTTGATGAGATATTATAAGGACTTAAGCTTAAACTGAAAACTCTTTTGGTCTATATATTTATATTTTATCTATATCATATATGATCTATAGCTTGATGAATTGTGATGATAATCTAAATAGCTATCAATCCGAGAGGGTATTGCACAGTCTTTATGTTATAATTGATTGAAATTTGTGGTCTTCTGTAGAGTGAGCGAGTATTGCGCAGTCAGTAACAATTGATAACAATAATCGACATGTATTTCGCTGTTGGAGCAATCCAAATTTCAGTCAGTCTTCATTTGCCGAATCGAAATGTTAACCAAACAACATTGCCTGATCGCTAGTGGCCCGATTGCCATGGGCTTGGCCCTAGCCACATTTGCCATTGATTCAAATTATGAATATCGCGATTGTAAGTAACAAATGTATAAGAATATGTTTACATACATAATGCGGATTGGTGCTAATTGTTGAACATTAAAATGCAGATGCCGCCTTTCTTAATATTTTGCGTTGCATGCAGTTGATGGCAACCATTTGGCTGCTCTTTGGCCTGCTGAAGAAGGATGCGATGCATAAGGAAAAATTTATGCTCTTTTGGCTTATTGTGTCAAGTGTTCTCTTCAGTTTCCTCTGCTACTTCTGTCTAATATATATAGGTAGAGAACTATTCGACTTTTACGACTTTATTGGATTTGTGGGGCAATTCTTTTTGCTTTGCCTCATTGTGGGCCTAACTGGTGAGTCGTTCAGTTGAGTTCAGATTGAGCTCAAAGTCTGCCAATTGATAATTGGAATATCTGAACAATAACAATTTTTATTGCAGCTCTTATGGGATATTTGCTGTATTTCGTCTATCAGAAATATGTGGAGATGACGAAGGAAATCGCAGAGACAGCTGCAGCACAAGTTCAAGTACCAAATCCAATTGTTCAAACCAAGGATCCGTTGCCTTCGTACGATCAATTAAATGTAACCATACAGAATTAATATGAGCCAAAGTTGATTTTCAACAAAAAGCGCAATAAAGTTGATAAGTAATCGAAGAGCGAGGGAGAGAGAGAAAGCGAGAGATCGAGTGAGTGAGAGAGAGCTGTAGTGAAAGAGAGTAAACAATCAAATAAAGATAAGCATACTATCAGCTATATACAAATATTGATTTACACTTATCATTGAGTTTAGTTAGCTTTGGAACGTTGTATTGCCATGTTTTCGCTCAAGCGATATATGGAAATTGGCATTTGCCTAGCCGTATTTGGCCTAACAATGGCCACAAATGCGCTGCCTTATCGCTGTAAGATCCACACATATATAAACTGTAAACATAGTATATACTAGACTGATATGAGTGTAAGCTCAATTTATATTTAGGGAATTTCAAATTGGAGGAAATACGCCTACTGCAATTTGCGGCCACTATGGCTCTGCTCTTTGGCGTGCTGAAGGCTCATAGCCAGCACAAGGATAAATTTCAGATATTCTGGATGATCGTAACCTCGATCACACTCATCGCTCTGCTGTATGCTGGCTTGCAGGAGATCGTCAGTCATCGCTCACTACTTGGCAGCACTTTGGCATGGGCGATTGCCTGTGAGTTTTTTTTGGCGAAAGATTTCATCTACATATACATATATATATAAAAAATTTGCTTTTTAAGTGCTCGTTGGAGGTCTGCTGAACATCATGTACAATCATTATGTGGAAACAACTATTGAAGCCGCTGAGAGCATCACTGAGATACTGCAAACACATCAGCCGCCGACGCTGAGCCCCAAGGGCCCGATAAACTCATTAGTTTATGGATAATTGGCCTAAATGAAACTCCATCATATTTATTGCGAATAAAAATTTGAAAATTTGTTGAAATGCAAAAAGCTTGAGTCGAGTTGTAGGTGCAGCTTTGCTAATTAAGCAGGCTTGCCCTTTTGCATTAATTTTAATTAAAAATTGTCTATTCCCATGCCACTTGACGATCAAAAGTTTTGTGAGTCAAACTTTTGTACAATTTGCATTTGCCAAAGCCAAAGCCAAAGCCAAGACGGAAGCCCAATGCCAAACAGCAATGCTTGAATTTATGTTATATAAATTGAATTGGAATGCTGTGCAAATGGGACAGGAAAAATTGCATAAATTACACGCGTATAAATTTAATTTGTGGAGGTAACAATTATTTTAATGCGCTCATTTCCAAGGCAGAAAAAAAAAAGTTGCAATAAAAGAAAAAACACTACAACTTTTCTAATATGCGCGACAAGCTGTAAGAAACAACAACAGCAACTTGAACAAAAATAAAAATAAAAATAAGAATAAGCACAAGGACAATTATTCCCGAAAGTGCTTGAAAGTTGAATTTAGCGAAATGAACCCGAATAAAATTGAAATCTCCCAAGCGTAAATAAACTTCGAGGCGAAAGCGCTCGACTAGCGCCATCTATTGTTTGGCAGCGCAAGCTGCTTGCACTCATTTGCCTTAATACATGTTTGTTTGCTTTAATATATAGAAATTCTTAAAGCAATTTTTTAGTGAATATATATACATATATGTTTTTAAATATATTAAAAAAATTTTTTTTTAAAATATTAAAACTCGTTTTTTTTTTTGCTTTTTCGATGCATTAAACAAAGCGAAATTATTTTATTTATTTTTTTCCTTTTCTTCTTTTTGTTCTGTTGTCTTATCAGACGTTCATGTTGATTGCGTCAGCTTAATAATAATAATATCGAATATACGTCAACTGTATTGAGGGGGTTTTCGGTGCAAACATGTCTAATCGTGTATATAACGCACCTGAATGTAATTCTATCGAAAGTTAATTAAAAGCTTTCTAAGTTTTTAAAAGCGTAGCTTTTATCTCTCTCTCGATCTATCTTTCAATCTATATCTCTCTTTCAATCTATGTCTCTCTCTCAATCTTGCGCTCCCTCAGTCTCTTTCACTCTCTCTCTGTCTCTCTCTATCTAGCAGCTGCATTATTGTGAATATGTCAAATCATTGAGATTAAATAACGGCAGCAGCATTTGGCCAGCAGCATTTGAGCACGTATTTATGTGGCTAAAGCGTGGCATAAAAAAATGATATTAAGCTGGCATTAAAATCATGGCCTGTCTGTGCTGGCTAGGGCTAAGGTCGAGGATGACAGCACAGGAAAAAAAATTAAAAAAAACTCCGAATCGACACAGTAAAATGGCCATTAAAATAATAAGACGACACCAATGGGCGACTGTCAGAGAGAAAGAGAGAAAGAGAGAGAGAGGGAGAGAGAGAGAAAGAGAGAGAGAGAGAGAGAGCGAGAGTGTGAGAGAGCTAATGGCCCAGGCCATGATCACACACACTGTGTGTATGTGTGTGTGCTTAAATATGAGCAGCACGTGCCGCAGGCCAACAATGAACTCAACATGAAGTCTTTCTCTCACTCTCACTCTTCCCCTCTCTGCTCTCTCTCTCTCTGCTGTCTGCTGTCTGCTTCGAGTACTTATGCAAATAATTTACATGGTTTTGTGAGTAGTGCTTAGTGGTTAGCAGTTGGCTCAATAAGCCTCCGCTTTCTGGCCAGCCATTTATGCATGTTTGTTTACCAGCCTTGCTGTTGCCTTAAATTTCAGCTTAAAGCTGATGCGAATGTTGATGCGAATGCTGAAGCAGTGCAGTGCCCCAGCTCGATGAGTCTGTGGCTCATTGATTAGCTGTGGCTACAAACAATTCATTAGCCGTTGACAGCTCAAGTCGCCAATTGACAAGGCCCACTCAAAATATGGCCAGCGCCGATGATGAGCCACGGCCATTTAGCCTGATTGGCACACATTAACAATGGCCAAGTGGCGTGGCGTGGCATGGCGTGGCATGGCGTGGCGTTGAAGAGAGTGCGCGACAATTGAATGCCATCAAATTAAAGCTAGTTACAAACAAGCAGCTGCCAGAGCAACTTGATATGGCCATAAATTGTTAGCCAGGCAGCTGACAGTTAATAGAGGTCAGCTCTAAGCTACACAAGGCTAACATGCTAAGCAGCAAATGCGATGCGTGATTATCTTAATTTATGCACAAGTGGCCAACGGCTAGTTGTTAGAGTACGTGTGTGTGTGTGTGTGTGTGTGTGAGTGTGCAGCTGGCAAAATAAATATAAATTGCAAAAACTGTCAAAGCCAAAAACCCAGAAAGATGGAGAATGCAATGTAAAACGCTTAAAGGCAAAACTGACTGGACTCTTGTGCAAGAGTGTGCGTGTGTGAGTCTATGTGTGTGTATGTGTGCTTTTGGCACAATAAAGAAATTTTTATCGCTGCCGCATTTAGACATTTGAAGTATGCGCTGCAAAATTTATTGTTGCCCCGTTCTTAGCTTGTGTTTCAATACAAAACCGATAAGGCACATACACAACTATACACACCCACACACACACACATACACATATATCCATTCGACCCCAACCGCTTGACGCCTTGGAATTTCAATTTCCATTTTGAGCTTTAAACAAAAACTTTGCGTACTTCGGCCAGTTGATTTTCTATAAAAATTTGAGCTTGGTCCAGCTTGTCAGCAAATGGGGCGTGGCAGTGATGTGAGGTACAGGCTGCTTTTTACCTGTTGAAAAATAGTTTTCCCATACCAATTTTCTAAATGCACGCCAAACGTCAAATGCAACAAATGATGAGCCGCAGCGCAGCAAAAGACCCGAGGGGCAAATGAAAGACAACGAAGAGGGAGGCAGAAAGAGAGTGAGAGAGAGAGATAGAGAGAGAGAGAGAGGGAGGGAGGGGGAGTGGGACGACAGTAGCTGAGGGGCGTGACAGAAAGCCAAGCGACAGAACTGTCATTGATTGTCACATATTGTGAGCCAGGGGGAAATGCGCTCTATCTGCTAGCTCTCTCTCTCTCTCTCTCTCTCTCTTATTGATGCAAAAAAGCTGTAATTGTGCGTGTTGCTGTTGCTGCTGCTGCTCTCGATTATGGCTAACAGCAATCAGCTTATAAATACTGCATGGACTCAACATTTGTTAAGCAATGCGAATGCTCCCCGAAGTGCTTCAATAATGCAAACGCAAGAACAAAGGAAAGGCAAACTGCAAAAAAAAGAGAGAGAGAAAAAAAGTAAACGTTGCTGACCATCAATGCATTTCCTGCCAAATGTTCTAGTAACAGTGACAGCAGCTGCTACTCCTGCTACTGCTGCTACTCCTGCTGCTGCTCCTGCTACCTGCTGCCACGTGACGTCAATGCAAATTGTTGAGCGATTGCAATGTTGCGTATACGCAATGTGTGCCCAAATTTATGGCAAATGTTGAGCAACTACATTTGCATGACAACTGCAAACGGGAAGGGCTTTAACTTCCAGTTAAGTGTAATATTAAATTTAATATTATATTTTTATAATTTCTATGCTATAATGACACGCACAAATAACAAAGACAACAACAATTATAATAAAAAAATTACATTTGTTTTATTTATTTTATTTTAGTATCAAATCGTTTCAAGTTGTTTGACATTTTTTTTTTTAATTTGTATATATTTCAGTCATAAAGTTAATTTTTTTTTTTTTTAAGTACATTGTTTATTAAAAAAAAATTGTAATTTTTTTGTGTTTTATTTATTTTAGGGGAATGAATAAAATATCTGAAATATACATAATATTAGTTAAATAAATAAATAAATAAATTGCTAATTTCAGTAAACATTTCATTAAAATTTATAGCTCCAAAAAGTATGCTACACTTTCTAAATTAAATGTAGGTGAAGATATGGCTTTAAAATAAACCAAAACAAAATTAAACCAATATATAAAACCATTTTTCTTTCCGTCGAAATTTAATTTCCTGCCACGCCCATTTGCTCAGCCTGTGCTGAAAAAAAAAAAGAAAACAAACAACGAGCTGTAATTAATTTCTTTTATAGCCTTGCCACATTTAACTAACAATTTCAGTGTTTTGCCTATTATTTTAATGGACTTGGGTTATAAACGCATAGCAAGGCAGTATTTCTATGATTTTTTTATTGTTCAGCAGCTGCGCCAGGCCAAGTGCGCTTTATTAACTTTTTTTTGTTCCCAGCTGCACAAGGTAAATGCGCTACACAAGAGTTGTTGTTGCTGTTGTTGTTGTTGCTATTGTTGTTGTCGCTTGGCACCTTTTTGTGAGCTGCTGCTGCTTCTGTTGTT